TGACATTCAACAGCAGTGCTGTTGAATAATATTTTTAGGGGGTAAATCTAGCTCCCTATTTAATTTTGTTATCTGTGTAGTCTGTAAGTAACATCCTCATGATTTTTTTATTTGTTCCTTCAAAGTGTCTTGGAGCCCTAACATATTTTTCCTACCTACCCACCTTCTTCTAGTTCATACATGCACAGAACAGAAGGGCTGTTTGTGTAGTAGCCCCTCAGCCACTGAGGAAGTGTTTCTTTCTCTTTTATATGTATGTACACGGACTTGTTGTTTTTCAGATTGTAGGAGGCATTTGGAAGGATGTCTCAAATGACAGCCATGAATTCTTTCTTCTAGAAGAATCCTTGAGTAGGCCGAAGCCTGCACTGCCTCCGGTGAGGCATGCAGGAATAACTGCTCCTTAAAACCAACACAATTGGTGCAATTCAGAATAGCCGTTTGAGTGCTCTAACTTGTACTTGGTAGTGACTGCAGTTCCTGCTAACTCAAAGCAAGTCCCAAAATTGCCTTTGCTTGTTTCATTCAGCACGGCAAGTAAGAACCTTATGCAGCCGAGGAATCGGCCTTTAACCTCTCCCTATCTCTATTCAAAGATAGAGAATTACACTAGCAAATAAATCCAGGAATGTTTTTTGTCTCTGGATGATTTTAGTTCTGCATATAAATAAATATTCCTATTTCCAATAAACATTTTAAAACAGATGATCAAAATTGACTCTGTGTAACTGCTGGTAATTAAAAAATTAACTGCTACTAAAAGTTTTCCAGAAAGAAATTGGCACTGAAGTGCTGCCAGATTGTAAATTTTTTTTACAGGACATGATTCGAGATAGCAGTTTAGGACTGAAACTTACCATCACCCAATACAGGAAGCTTTAGATTTGAGAAAGTACGCATAGGAGAGGTGATAGAGAAGATCTCTTAACACAGGATAGTATGTACTGTTGCCATAAGGTGTTTAAAATTCAACTTTTCTCAGCTTACTAAAGGAACTTTTTTTGTGTGTTTGCTAGAAAGATGTGGAGGACACAAACTACAGATCAGTCCTACTGAAGTCTGATTACTACTGCAGTCAATGACAAAATTTGTTCAAGGGTTCAAAACAATCTTCAAGTCAAATCAACTCTGGAATTTCTAACTGCATTTTCTATTCATTTCATTAGCAATTTCCCCCTGTACATTAGGGATACATTCAGCCATTCAGTTCCTTCTCTCATAGGCTGATGATTCTCTTACCAAATGTTCAGACTACATATTATGCTCCCTAACTGTTATTCAGTCTATTCATTATATGGTTCTGTTAGATTCTTCACTGCAGAATATCCCAACAAAATTGGAGCCCTATAATAGCATTCATTTTATGCAAAGAAATGGGGATAATCCACTTACATTTACACCACTAATGAGTTATATTTTTGCTCTTTATTAACTGAGATGAAGATCACAGTGGAGATCAAGACATATAGGCTAGATTTTCTGCACATCTCATTTTAATGACCTGCCTCTGTTATCTTTGACTTGCTTAGGAACCTAGCATTGCTGGTGAATTCACTGGAAATCAAGGATGTCTGATGCATCTCCCTAATCCCTTTGTCTTCCTGGCTTCATTAATATCTGCAGTGCAGTACACATATGAATCCAAACCAGTCACAGAGCTTACCAGTATTAAACTTATTGCTTAGGTGGTGTTTGCAGAAGTTCACAGTCTGAATAGATCCTGGGCCATGGAGAGGAGCTCCCTGAATTCTGAGATGAATGAAGTAGGTATCTGAAGAGATATTTTCTTGACTGGCCATGATCCAAGAATGGATATTAAATGCTAAGAGTTATTCCTCGTGGATATAAGATGAAAAGTAATTATTTGCTGAGATAATGATAGTAAAAGAAAAGATAACAATTAAGAAAATGAAAAGAGGAGCAGACACATCTGACTCAGACATTATTATAGTTTTAAATATATTTCTATTAATGCACAAAGGTATGTTTATATATGGTTGTATACACACAGTACCACTGAAAGCAAGTAATTCTAGAGTAGAGAGCACTCACAAGATAATTCAGAACACTATGAAGAAGGTGGCACAGAAACAAATACCTGCTCTTACAGAAAAGACCCTTTGATCCTCTGGCCTTGATTTTTTGCTGCTATAAACTGGCAGAACTCCACTGAAGCCATTTATATTCATGCATAGCAGACAGGACCCTGGTATTTACAGTCATAGCTGAAAGAATATGGAGCCAAATCAATTCCTCATTTAACTTTACTGAATATAAAGCAATGTATATGACCCATTATCTTTATGGAAAAGCATTTAAATGCAGAACCAATGCAAATGAAATGTAAAAACCATATCTTAATTGTTCAATTACTAATTTTACACAGGCCATTTTAGAGTGTTCCTCCAGTGTTGTTTGTTCAGAACATCGGCTTTTTGCTTTAATAAAAATATCAGGTATATTTTCAAGTCATGTTCAAATCACAAAACTTGTGCATATATGTAGATTCTAATAGATACTAATAATTTCCTTCTCTCTTTTTTTCTGTTCATCTTGGAAAGGTTCAAATTTGCTTTATTGTGGAATTTTGGAATTGATTCAAAAAGTTCTCTGTAAAATCATTACAAAGGAGGATTCTCTCAGTTAGTGATGGAGCTGAGTTTGGATTTTTATCTTCCTGTTGCAGAAATCAAAATAGGACTAAATTTCTAGCTCTTCAGCAACCTAACGTAGTTTGGCTGAACAGCCGCTTGTTATCAGACAGTCTGCTTGGGTAGCAGGTTGATAAATATCCTAGAGTCTTCTAGACTGTTATTTCTAATCAGGAGTCTAAGTGACAGCTTTGTTCCACTTAGGTACAATTTTTTACAGCCCTGTAAAGAGACAAGTCAGTTAAACTGACCAAAGAAGCTAAACCAGTGGTTGCTATTCGCCTCTTCTCTGCAGTGCTCCGTATGTAAAGATTTGTGTCACGACTGCTGTGAGCATTATACTTCTGAAGGTGCCAAACTGGAAAGTGGTGATGGACAGGGGTGGGACACGACTTCCCTGGAGCTGCTTGCCTCTTTGGGCTGCTTGCTGAACTCACCACCTAGTTCCCACCTATGGTTCAGCTTAGGATCAGTGGAGCTGCACAGTGAAGGAAGGAAACCCTTGATGAGGGTTTGGGCTGCCCCAGGAGACGAGCTCCCCGCGCCACAGAGATGAGCTGCGGTGATAGCGGGGGGCACCCCCAGCACCGGGGCCTTTCTTGTGGCGCGGCGGCAGTTAGCACAGGTGGGTGCTCTGGGCTCCTCGCGGAGGCCCTGGACCCTTCGCCAAAAAGCAGCCTGGCCAGGTGAGTCCCTGGCGCGAAATCCTCCCAAGGGCTAAATGTCTGCCCCCCCTTGGGAAAGCACGGACGGCTGCTTTCCCTGAAATGGTACTGACGGAGTTCTGGAGCTCACCAAATGACTATAGTCTGGTAAATATGTCACCTTGGAGGTGACACCTTGGTCTGTGTCCTCAAGGTGCGATAAGGCAAAGTTGCAGGTGTATGAGCTGTGGAATGCCACGGAGTTAAACTGGAGATACCTTTGTGCTGGTTTATGAGAAGTTTGCAAGAAGAAAAGCAAGGGTTAAAAGATACTGTCATTTTCATAGACAGGCTAAGTTTATTTGCAATTGCAGTGTCCCACAGTTAAAATGGAAATCAATTTCAATGCCTTATGAAAATGCAGAAATATTTTTCTCATTTACAGCACTTCCAAAAAAGGCAGATAATAAAATTCCCCTGATTAACGATCTATAATTTTATGTGCTTTTTCACTACATATATCCACAGAAACATGTTTCAAAATAATAAGCAAAGATGGATCTGAAAAAAATGCCTAAATCTAACTTCACACTGAATTTCAGGCTGTAACAACTGTGTATTCAAAACCCTCTTTGATATATTTGGGAATATTGGGCTTTCTCAAGCATTGGGGAAGCAGAAATTACTCTAAAAATCTCTAACCAAGTATTTCTCAAGCAACCATTCAGTACCTATCCAGACAACCAAAAGCAAAGTGATCAAGGACATACCTATATAAAACCATCTACAGAATGTAACAATTAGAATAACTGCACACTATAGGATGGTATTATTACTCTATAAAATAACTCTTAATATAGTAGAATCAAATGGGAAATCATATTTTTAGAAAGTGAACCAATTGCAAACAGTAAAATACTCTGTTGATAGAGTTCTCAAAAATGTTTCAGTACCCTATTGAAAAATTAGTTATTCACTTAGTAATGTATCTGGATTTACAACACATTTATCTCTTGACCCATTCAAAAGAGATTTAAAACTGTGTGGGATTCTTCAGTGTATTTTGTGGCACAGCTAATACCATAAATTAAAGCTTTAGCCTCATCATATTGGATGTTGTAACAGAATTTGCTCTTTGGAGCTGTTGTGCTTGCACATGCGGTCACCACTTTTTCTGGAGTGTACAAGGTGGGTACTTACAGCAAGTAAGCTTTAATAGCTGTTTTTTTTTTTTTTAACTTTCATGCTTTTCTGGCCATGCATACAAAACCATGTAATATGTAACATGGTATGCATAATTCTTAGAAGGAGGCAAGCATCACTTATCGTGTTGCTTATGCTCCTCAGAGTAATACAGCTAGAGGATAAATTCTACTCCTTACTTAGAAGTGTTGATTCTGCCATTTAGATTTGCTGTAGATTGCACGTTTGTTCTTTAAGGGAGAAATGTTGAAATGCATGTTTTCCTTCTCATTTCCTTTTTATTTTTTATTTTTTGTCTTTCCTGTATCAGATTTACAACTAACTTCCCCAAACATGACAAGGCATTAATCCAATGAGCTACTTTCCTGCTGGAAGAAATTTTACAGTAAAAAAGATGGAAGGCTGGTGTCTAGCCAGGAAAAATCAAAGCACTGTTACCATTTCCTGCACCAGCTTAGCATTTGCAAGGCTTTCAAAAACAACCAAAAATGTAAATGATGGTCAGTCTGTGTACTGAATGAAACTCATAGTCCAGATTGCCCTTGTTTAAGTCAGCTGCTCACACTTCAGTTCGTCTGCCCACCAAGGATTCTGTTAACTAGTGTATTTCAAAAGCCAGACTGTCAAAAACACTGACAGCTAGTGCTAGCTGAATAACATTTCCTCCCTGCAATCCATTTCAGGCTTTTGTTTTAGGTTGCAAAACACTTCTTGAAATCCACTGATATTTTTGTCATTCGTGAACATTCATTAAGTAGACTGTATAAAAAATAATGGCTCAGCAGGTATCTCTCTGGTGAGAGCAGAAAGAAGGGAAATAATGGCGAGAGTGGTTGGCTGGACAGCAGAGTATTGACTGTGCTCTGTATGCAATGTTTG